GTCCTGTGCAACCAGTATTTCACTGGAGACTCAATGTATTATTGCTTCCTGCAATGAAAAGTACTTTATGAATGAAGGAAGTCGACCTTTCTGGCACAAATTTTCATGATTGCGGCGTCAGACCCCAGACCTTCTCACCCAAATTCGTGACCGAAGGACTAGCCGATCTAAAACCGTGATGTGACGTGCGTAACAATGCCACACCTAGCTGCACCCTGCACAACGATTTTCCAGCTAATGGGCCACAATCGATGTACCGGCAGCCTGGACGATTGTTACTGGGTCAGGTTAATTACGCAATTAACCCTTCCAACTGCCACCACCTCCTTTTTGTACAGAGAAAGAGGAAACTCAGCGTTATCAGCTATACCACTATAATGATTGAGATAATCGTCTGTATAAAATGGTCATAACACAGGCCTGTTATACAGAGAGTTAAGCAAACAGTAGCGTTCTCTTTAGAGGCAGGGATTCTTAAATTGCAATACAGAGCTATAGAAACAGTTCAACACTTTCAGAAAGAAAGATTTATTACTAAAAGGTCAAACGGGTGCAATAACAATATTTACAGAAAAAGGATGTAACTAAGATATATATATATAAATATACAAAGAACCATAGCACAGCAAAGAGATATCAGAGAGAGGTGAAAGGGTTAAAGTACTTGCCAAAGTCCTGGGTTAGCAGATCCAAGTTTCAGAGCAGAAGGGTGCTTTGATCTCCCTATGTTACGATGGTCAATGGGAAAATCTTCAACTCCCTAATCTTAGGCCTGACAGCCGGTTTTGTAGTCCCCAGCAGGGGGGTGGCTCTGCAGTCAAGGACCAATCTCCGCTTAGGGCGTGGAGAGATGGGTGGATGCTTCAACTAGAGCACAAATTTCCCATAACTCATATTTGGCCCATAACTTTTCATCTGCACAAGTGACATTCGACCCGCGGGTAGATTATTATGCAGACAAGTCTGAGGATTGATTAGATATGAATTATGAAAGTGTACACTGAATGGTTCGCGAGATCAATTTTTCTGCTTTCCTGTGTGTCCGAGACAAGGCGAGTGACCCATCAAACTGTTCGCGCCTGCTCATCGTCCATCTGACAATATGTTCAGTTTTTATGTAAGTCTCTCATATTCCACGATATGAGACATAGGGGAAAAATGGTTTTAACAGAGGTTATCTGATTCTGTCACCTACACTGAGTTAGGTTTATGAGGTCGGAATCTCTTTCAACTCTTGGGAAAGCTTGCCTTATCTCCTCCGAGGTGTGAAATGGCACAGGTTCTTGGGACAGTGAGGCAGGTCATGGCTCCCTGCTGGGATCTGGCCTGTGACACTTTTAACACACACACATCTGTCACTGTGCCTCTCAGAGTAAGAGGGGGGGGAAAATGAGGGAATAACATGGCTACTCTTAACAAAATGGCAGACTGCGTCAGTCTCTGGTGCGCACGTTTGCGACACAAATCACCAAACGTTCATTATTTGTGGGATACAGAATCATTGTATAAGCAAAAGCCAAAGGGCTTCTGATTCTGGTTGTACCATAGAGAAAAAAATTAATTCTTGGTGATGTGTGCTATTTTTGAGTTTTTTTTTAGTCCACTTTGGTTCCGTGAAAAAAAAAAGATCTGAATTTTCAGTTTTGGGTGGACCAACTCTTTTACATGAAAGAAAAGTCTGACAACAGGAGATGAGTGGCGATCTTGGCACTGAATCATGCTTCTTATGGCTCATTAGGAAGTGTCAGCTCCTGCCCTTTCTGCTGTGAGCAGATGCTGATAACACTAATCAGCAAAGGTGTTGACCTTTCTCCACACATGATTGCCACAACTTAGATGAAAAAAAAAAAACACCACAAGACTCATTCAGCATGTGTTTTGGATTTTGAGAGCTGCTAACCTTTAAGCATTACTAAATAGCAGGACATTTATAAGTCTCTTGCCTTTACAATTGGCAGACTGAGTTGTGGAACTAAAGGGGCCCACCAACATGAGATGGCAGAGCCCCACTCTGGATGGTTTTGGTTGCATCAAGTGACATGCCTAAGGGTCTGGTGGATACTTGATGGCCAATAGACCCACATGTTCACAAAACTTCACCCAATCACTATTGTTCCTCTCTGCCTTTGTACGCCCCTTGTCTGACCCCCTTACCCAAAAAGTGCCATAGGAGGCTTACTGCAATAAAAAAAAAAAAAAAAAAAGTTACAATAAAGTGTAAAGTTTTGGGAGGAAGGTAAAATACAAGCAGATTCAATTTCAACTTGCACCACTTTATTCCCATGGGACCTATCTGTATGTCCTCTGGTTAAATTGGTTCTGCAGCTACAGGCATCATCCCGGCATTTTTGTTTTAAGCCGGCGATTCCCTTTAATGTAAAAGCCATCCTAACAGCTGATTAGCTACTGGATTGCTTTTACAGGAGGCAGGAGGGCAGGGGCGGATTGACAACTCATCAGGCCTCTGGCCAATAGGGGATCTTGGGGCCCCTGTGTCCTCGCCCACACTCAAACCGCACCCAAAAAATCATATGAAAGGTACCAGGGGCATCTCATGTGACCCTCTACTGACCCCGGGCCCTCGGGCAGTGCCCGAGTGCCCAAATGATCAGTCCGCCCCTGCGGGAGGGGTTGTCTCCCTTGCCCCCACCCCGCCTCCCTCAGTTCCAGTTTGCACCTAAGCTAGTGGCGTCCAGTACTTGGGTGTAATGCCCAGCTATAATACCTTGGTCCTGTGTCCCTGTTTACCCACCCCATGCGTGCACAGCAGTGCACCTGCGTCTTTCCTGCGGATTATCCGCACTTTACCATAGATTTCTATTATATCTTGTGGGTGTGGCGCACTTTCTTAAAGTGCACCAATAATCCTACATTCAGGTGGTTTCAGAAAGCACACCAAACACGCAGGATATAATAGAAGGGTGCTTTCCTGGTTTGAGGTCAAGGGCCACATAAGAGGGCTCCAAGGGCCATGGTTTGAGCACCCCTGCTCTAAGGTCACCAAATGCCTAACATTTATCCTGTCAGCAATTAGTAGAAAAATAATAATTTAGAAATGAATCTGACAACATCCTCCTTCTCTGCACGATTTCAAAGTAAAAAGAGACCAAGTTTATCAGAGACGCTTCACCTTTTTACAACCTCACTGGCTTCACTGGCCTATAGCTTTGTAAATATGTAGGAGCACATCAGGTAAAGATGCAAATGAAAGCAGTCAAGTTCCTTTACAGAAATACACATAGAGCGAGGTGCACAGATTAGCAATCACACTTTTAAAGCTGCAAAATAGAAAAAAAGAGTCCTCTGACCTTTAAATTTGTGAAACACGGCCCACAGCTCAGCGATGTCCGTGGCAAAGGTGATGTCCGTGTCCAGGACAATGACCCGCTCCAGGCTGGCCGGAAGAGTCTTGGTAAGCACCAGCTTCATGAGTCCATATATTCCTGAGTAATGTTTGTTCGGAATCCATGATACCTCGGACTGCAGGGAGGAAAACAGAAGACAGATCATAAAGAAGAGTTTAAAGGAAACCAGCCACGAAAGAAACTTGTCACTGAGACATATGAACCGAACAAATATCAGGTTGACAGCACTCCAAGATCTCAATAAAAATGTCTTTATTCTATTTATTCCATAAAACCTGGGTATAGCAAGCAGATGGAATCTTTAGTGTTTTTTACATTTACCATCACGTAATAATTGAGTGATATCCTGAGCTGTCAGATAACATTTTACCCAGCAGTAAACGTCCTTCCGGAGACAATATTTTTTGTTACGTGTTCTTCTGGGTCGTGCCTTGTTTCCAATCACCATTCATATCCGATTTCTCCTTTCGGAAATTTTCATTTGGAAGATCTGAATCAGATATCAAAAGTTGTGTACACACTATACAAAAATGGAATGATCGTTCTGAATATGGAATGCTTCTTCCGATCTTCTTATAGTGTGTACCCAGCTTCAAACTCATTTTACAGGGGCTGTGTCTATTCTGATCTGCAGGGGATCTATGAACAGATCCTCTCCTGAATCTGAGCTGAAGGATACACTAACAGAGCTATGTTAGGTCTATGGGCAGGCAAATGTAAACAAACGTGTCTGTTTACATCTGACTACCTCAAGTCCATTATGCTTAGGCCTCCCCCCAAAAATGGAAAAGAACACACATTTTTCTGTTTTTTTATCTTTGTGCCTAGATGGACTTGGAGGTAATTGGCTGTAAACAGACACACATTGATTTACATCTGCCTGCCCATAGACTTACATAGAGCTTCTGCTCAGATCTACTTGAAAAACCGACAGGGGGATCTGAATTGATTGGTTGTGTAAAAGGACCCTAAACTCAGCCGTCATCAATCAGAATATTATAATTCAATAACAATATTATGAGTAAACACCAACTTCAATAACAATCATTTATCAAGTAGGCTCCATTCACACCTCGTGATTTGGAATCATGGACAGAATCGAAACAATTCTGCCCACAATTTCAAATCATGTGGCAGTCGCAGCACAATGGGTTACACATGTTTGAGTGCAATTTTCCTTCAATGGTACCCCAAACGTGATGTGATTCTGCAGTGATTGTTGTGCGGCAATTCTGATAAACCGCACCTTTAAAAAAATCATGTGAAGCTTGTCACCCAAAGAGAAGGAGCTTTTTTTTGGAAGACAAACACGCATAGGGAAGCCTATTCAAGTGAATGGGTTGGCCCTATACAACATGCAGATTTGCGTGAAAGTCGTGCGGTCCAAATTGCGAAGTGGGAATGCTCGTTCCAGCTACACGATAATGTGAATGGGGTCATGGATCTGAGGACCACAACAAAACTTACATATTTAACATAAGGTATCAAGCCTAAAGTGACATACATAAAAATCATTTATCTTTTTGCATGCCACTTCATACCTTTGTGTTGAAAACTGTACATTTTGTTGGTCCTCAGATCTACATTTAAAACTGATACATGGTTGGTGTTTATATGGAAAGGTTTGTTTACACTAGCGTTGCCCCTCCATTTTACGTGGTGGATCGCTTTTCAGAGGGCATTTGACAGGTGGTGAGGAGGTGTTATATTGCTTCCTTACCCCTGTTTTAACCCCTAAAAGCCTGCTCTGCCATAATGCAGACAGTTGCAGGGCAGTTTTTGGTCCAGCCACATTCACTTAAATGGGTGATATTTGGTTGGCTGTACTGCTCTGCTATAAATCCAACATATGGGATACTTTGGGCCGCAGTATGTGTACACTCCCGTCTGCTGCCTTTGCAGCTTAAGGAAGAGCTGAACTCCATGTTTTTACCACCCAAGTGCAAATGAGCCCTAAAACTAGGTTCACACTAGCACAAGTTCTGAAAAGTAGTTTATAATGGGGCTAATGCACTACAACCGAGAGGGAAGCATTTGGCTCATGGTTGCGGTGTGGCCCCAGTGACTTTGATAGCTGAGCTTGACAGACAGGGCTGTCAATTTGGCACATCATCATGTAACATCTGCAGCAGCCACGCTGCAATGTTATTTAGCATTAACTAGGTGGCCAGGGAGCAGTTTAAACTGCAGCTCAGACACCTGTTTTTACCATCTCCCAGCTACCCATGTGAAAGAGGCCTAAAAGTATTATGGAATCATCATATCCTGATTTATGATAGCTGAGTTTAGTATGCGAAAAGTACTGCTAGTTAAAATTGGTCCCTGACATTTCAGGATATCACTCTATGGTTAAGCGTAGGTGTAGGTGAATTGCAATAGAGATTCCATCTACTTGGTATACCCTGTTTTTATGGAATAAAGTATTCTGCATTGAGAGCCTGGAGTGCCATTAGCTTGGCATTTGTTTGGTCTAAATGATAGAGACAAGATTGCCACTACTGATCTCTTGTTCCAAAAATGCTGGTTTTCTCTCTGTCAGGCTGACCTTCTTGCCTCCATGATATTATCAGTCATTTACAGATAGGGACTGATGAGTATATTAAGGCCAATGACTCACAATTGAAGCCATGGTGACCTAATAAAAGCCAGGCAATCAGCTTTTTCAGAAGGAAGTCAGCAGCTGCAGCCCGTGAATGTCTTTTGTGGATAGATTTACTTTACAAAACACACACAGAAATCCCTGTGCTAACAATAGAACATATACAATTAAATACATGCTAACAATTTCTAGATATCACAAGCAGCTGTACAATACACAGGCTAGCCCTTGCAAAATTCATTGTTGTGACAAAATGAGTTGTTTTTTTTTTTTGTGCATTGTCTGGTGTAGAGATTTTTGTACATTTATTTATCAATTCTATATGAGCATGGGTTACTGATGACACTGGCACAGCTCTCCACCAATCATCCAGCTAGATATTATAAACATCAAAGATGAAAGATCATTTCTTCCTCAATCCTTTGAATGTAAGTTTGGAAGACCCTTTGAAGAAATAAATGTTTGACAGAGGCTCTAACCCCCCCTACTTACCCTATGGAGGAAAACAATATATATATATATATATATATATATATATATATATATATATATATATATATACATATATATAAAAAGTGCAGCCCTAAAATCACAATAAAAAGCTAAATTAATCAAGTGGAACAGTAAATTGCATCACATAAGTGCATTAAACCTAGAATAAAATGAACAGCAAATCAGCAAGTAATGTTTAAGCAATAATGTCCATGGGTAAAAGTGATGATGGGTGCACTACAAGTTGAAATAAAAATGATCAAAAGATAGTATTATAGTACTGATATTCATGATTGCACGTGATAATTAGTGCAACATTAAAAATAGGTAAAATAGTATGTCCATAAAAAAACTCAGTGTCCATAGAGTCATAAAGTGCAGCAATCTAAAGTGCAGGACGTGAACGTGATGTTAATCACACAGGGGAATCCACCACCTCTGTCAGACATACACTCACCAGAAGGTTAATGATAACAGGCATATACTGTATGTATATCACATCTGGAGGCTTGGAGGCAGCCAGCGGGTTAAACGAACGGAGAAGTGCAATCACGCAATGGAGAAATTTCATACCGTACAGGAGAAATTTCATACCATACAGGAGAAAAAACATACCTATTTATAACCTACCAAAATTAAAGAATGCCATTTATCTCCCTTAAAATAGAGCCCACATTAGAACTTTCCAGGAGCATTTACAGTGGACCTTTCAACAACTTTAAAGATAGGCACAAACAAATTCCTGACATGAAACATTAGGGTACAAAGGGAAACCACCCCAATCTATAACTGGCCTGTGCAGTAAAGAGCACATGGAATGGAATGCATGGTATAAAACAACAAAAAAATTCCCAGCACACTTACAAGCCAGCCTGCAACAGACCAAATTACAATGTCTAACAGTTCACATTAAAACAAGGGGTATAGTGGCGTCCTATGTTGCAGATGCCTCACCCCTTTGCTTTCATGGCTGTGGCCAGGCAGGTACAGTGCTCCATATTTGGTGGTTGTGTCCAAAGGTCCGGTGTTTTTGGATACGTACATATATATTCTCTATTCTCTCACCCAGATGAACCTTAGGAAAAGCCCTAAGCAGGCCCTCCTCGGCAAACCAGTGGAGAGGGCACTGAAACCTGTGCGTTGGTTACTAACATTGATTTTTATGACAGCTAGAATCTCTATTGCGCGGTCTTGGAAGCCCCCTGTCATTCCATTCCACCTTCTGAAGACCAAGCTGACATGGATTATGATGAATGAACACCTAACGGCGATTCTTCAAGATAAGATGGTTATTTTTGAAAAAGTATGGGACCATAGGTCCCATGGTTTAGATACCTGTCAAGTTCTTGGTAGTTTGGGACCGTCCATTTACCGGAGCGGTGAGGGGGCCTCCACTTTCTCTTTTCTTACCTCACCCCCCCCCCCCTTTTTTTTTTTCCTTTTCTCTCTCTCTCTTGTCCTACTCCCACTTTTCTATATTCTTTTTCCTTCTCTCATTCTACATTTTCTTTAATTATGGTTGTTGCTGAGTTCATTGTTGACATATCATCCCGTGGTGTGCCTTTCTGTACTGTCAGAATGTTATTGCTGTACCCTTTCTTATGTTGGTCACAGTGGAATGTGCCTATATGTTTTTTTTGTTTTCCTCTTTTCCTCCTGTGCATTTCAGGGAGATGTTTGTATTGTATTTTATTAATATCGAAAAATAAAATCTATTGAAAGAGAAAACAAGTGATATAGTTTGTACAAATTTGCAAACATATATGCATAAGTTGCAGAGGCCATGTCATAGCACCCCAGTGTACTGCAGTCCTAACTCTATAAATTTTGAGTGTCTCCAAAGTTGTTTTAACGTGAACTGTTAGACAGGGTTTGCTGCAGGCTGGCTGGTAAGTGAGCTGAGAATTGTTTTGTTGTTGTTTGACATGCATCGCCCTTCCATGTGCTCCTTGCTGCAAAGGCCAGTTATAGGTTGGGCAGGTTGCCATTTGTTTGTACTGATGATGAATTGGTGAGAGGACTCACTGGATATCTTCACTGCCACTGTGCTTTTACTGGGTGTCCAGTGCATCCCTTTACCTTTAAGGAGAGATGGGCTCCTGCCAGACATACCAGCTCTTAAGCTATCCATTGTTATATATGGGCTTCAACTTTGGAGACTCACAAAAGTTAGTACTGTTAGTATTGCAGATATATTGGGGTGCCATGAAGTGGCCTCTGCAGCTATTTGCAAATGTGTGCAAACTAAACCCCTTGTTTTAACGTGAACTGTTAGACAGGGTAATTCAGTTTGTTGCACGCTGGATGATAAGTAAGCTGGCAATTTTTTTGTTGTTTTTTTCACATGTCACATTTGGGTCCATGCACACTGGCTTATAAAACGCTGCTTCTACAGGAGTTTTGTATTTTGCCTGTAGAAGCAGCTCAACGTTATACTATGCGTCCATGTACATTAGGATGTTTAGAGGCATAATTTAAAATAGAAAAAATAATAAACATCCCTATACTTACCTACCGTGTGCAATGGAATTGAACAGAGCGGCCCCGAACCTCCTCTTCTCGGATCCCCCGCTGGATCAAATGAGGGCTCAGGTAAGTAAAAGGGGGGTGGTAAGTAAAAAAAGGGGTGAGGGAGTAAGGAGCCAAAACGGATGCCTAAACATTTTTTTTACCTTATTGCAAGAAATGCTTTAAGCTCAGCATTTAGAGACAGAAAAAAAACTCTTCTAGCCTACACATATGTACAAAAATGCTCTATACGAAAATTTTTTACTGACAAGGGACCTTGTTTTTTTTTTGTTTTTTGGATTTTTTTTAACCCTAGAGTGCATGGAGCTTTATACAACAACAGTATCAGTTTTTCAGAAATGATCCACCATCATTAAAAAAACATCATTGAGCTCCAGTCCAATGACTCTGCCAAGGCTGCTCCAGGCAAGAGGAAATACTGTATTTCCTCAGTCTCCTCTCCCCCCAGTGATCAGACTGCAATACTGTAACTATGTTGAGGTTGCAGCAGAGACTGGTTTGTGTCTCACACGTACACAGCCAAGAACTGCACAAGCACCAGGAGAGGAGGGTTACATGGTGGAATAAGTAGAGTCTTCTAGCAGTGCAGAGGATTTCAGGGAAGGAGAATAAAACAAAGGAAGCAGCAGAGTCTAAGAGCAGTGCAAATAATTTTTAGGAGAGGAGACTTAGAGATAGGAGCAGATCATTCCAAGAACTCCAGCAATGCAGAGTATTTTAGGAGAGGAGAATTAGAGGAAGGAGCAGAGTGCTCCAGCAGAGCCAAGTATTCTAGGAGAGAGGAATTAGAGGAAGGAGCACAGTCCTCCAGCAGTGCAGAGTACTTTAGGAGAGGAAGGAACAGAGTGCTCTAGCAGTGCAGAGTATTTTAGGAGAGGAGAGTTAGAGTAAGGAGCAGAGTCCTCCAGCAGTGCAGAGTATTCTAGGGCAGAAGAATTAGAGTAAGGAGCAGAGTCCTCTAGCAGTGCAGAGTATTCTGGGGCAGAAGAATTAGAGTAAGGAGCAGAGTCCTCCAGCAGTGCAGAGTATTCTAGGGAAG